CGGCGGCTCTTCCCTCCAGCCGTTGCCCAAAGCCCCCCACCAGGAGGGCGAAGCAGACCCCAAGTTGGAATTTCTGCCCCCCTCCCACCCTCACAAAAAGACCCCGAAGGGGGAGACTCTGCAGCAACATAAGCGTTCATTGCACATATGCGTCCCAGGGGACGTAGTTTGAGGACCCCGGATTTAGTGCAATATAAAAAATGCAAATAATTTTTCTGTGGGCCACCAAAATTTTCTCTTGGACCCCCAGTTAATGACCGCTTCTTTAGATTACAAGACACCTCTTGTGTCCTAAAGTTGAGACGTTTAAGAGCGCTTATGTGTTCAATTTTATTTAAGGTAGTTTTGCTAACCATTCGGATTCCCCCTCCAATCAAATTTCTCACTTAGCGACATCAATTCTGGGCTCAATTGGGGGGGGGGTCACAAGCTGTTATTTGTCTTTATCTCTTTAGCTCTCATCTTTTGTTTCCTGACCTGTGAAATCGGCTTTGTTTAAGTCCATGTTGAAATTCAGTAAAGTCAAATGAAAAGGCTTCGACTCTTTCAGCTTGAGATTCTCCAGCCATTCACACGCGACCTGGAAATGAGGGGGAAGGGGGAGGAGAAACCCACATTGGTTTAACGTTATCATTTGTGGATAGATCCTCATCGCATCTGTGACACCGTATTTGGCTCTGGCATGGAAACACTTATTATTTCTCCTAGCATCCATGCTTTCAAAGACAGTCCCTCCCCCTCCCCGGTGGGAAGCTTCCAGAAGGACACATGCATGCCGATACTTAAAATGCATACAGTCCTTGAACTTACAGTCGCATTTGAGCACCAAATTTCAGTTGCTAAGCAAGACAAGGTGTTAAAGTGAGTTTAGCTCCCTTTTTGCAACCTTCCTGGAAAATAGCTGCAGTTGTTCATTTAATCACATGGCTGCGAAGCAAATCTGGCTCCACCCATGGACTTTGCTTATCAGGTCGCAAAAGGGAGATTGCGTGACCCCTGGGGCACTGCAGCCGTTGTAAACATGAGCCGCAGCTCCTCAAGAAAAGTCCAGTTGCCCTTTGGGACAACCACGACCCCGAGGATTGAGAATCTCCATAGACATTTTAGACATCGGAATGGCCGCTTACCTCTTCAAAGGCATTGAGCATCATCAAAGGGAAGAAGATCTTGAAATAGTCATCGTAGTTCTGAAACTTGACCGGGACAGAAATAACGAGTGCCTGCAAGAGATGGTTTGGTGGACCAAACTCCTTGAAGTTAACAAACATGTCGTAACTCCACTTCAGGATTTCTTTGGTGAAAACGCTATGGTCTCTAGGCTGGTTGACTCGGACAAAGGATGAGTGCGCTTCCCGACCGGTGTCAGCACGTGGAACAGGCATCATGTTGGCTCTACCCACGTCGTGGATGCTTGGGATGCTGTGGGGCTGTGCGGAGACGTTGTTCCCATTCCGAGGGCAAAGGAGGTTGGCCAGAGTCAGTTTGGCCCTCACGTCATCTGCCTTCGAGGCAGCAAAGAGGGTGGGGTGGGGTTTGGCCTTGGCCGGGGGGGCATGCGCAGCGCTGGTCTCGAGGTCTTTGGAGAGGCTGGCAATCCGCGAAGAAGCACTGGAAGTGAAGATTTTCTTGGTGGAAGGCTTGGGCAGCACGCATGGCTTGGCAAAGACGTGGTCCAGAGGGTTAGGCAGAGAATGACCTCGGCAGAAGGGACCTGCTCCTCCCGCCTTTAGAGGGCATCCAAGGTGCCTGCACTTCTCAACGGCCTGAGGTGGATTCTGCAAGGTTGGGTGGACATCTAAGCCTTCTGGGCAACTGCTGCTTTCCATTTGGGAGCAAAGCTCCATGTCCACCAGATCTCTCTGGGTTAGGAACAAGTCGTCCTCATTTTCCCCTGGGTCAAGATCCTTCTTCAAGCCAGGCGCATCCTCACTCAGGTTCTTGGAAGAAGCCGAGTTGACCCCACCAACTTCACTTGAAGAGCAGGCACTCCCTGGAGCAGAGGTGAAACACCCTGGAACATCTGAATCAGGCTCGACAGTCTCCTGCCTTGATGGTGGAAGAGCCTCTTCTCTCTCCACAGCTGCAGAGTGGGACCCATCATCCTCTCCTGAATGCTGTGGCAGAAATTTCTTCAGGGGGTGAGAAGAATGGCTGGGCTGGCTTGGCTTTCCTTTTAGATTGTCCACCTTCTTCTTGCCAGAAGTGTCCACGGGTGGCTTGGGGGAAGTCTTCTTGGCTCTGGGAAGGTCCTTCCCTTTCTCTCTCTTCTCGGATCTTGACTGTCTGAAGAACTGGCGTTCTTGGCTGGCCAACAGAGATTTGCTCCGGACAACCATCCGCCGAGGTTCAATCAGCTTGGCCTTCTTCTGGGGAAGCTGCCCAGCGCTTTTCCCATAGCTGCGCAACTGGGCGAGGACATCGTGGGAACGCTGGGAGAGATCTGCGGCTTTGCGGGGTTTCTTCTTCAGGCCCAGCTTTTCGACAGTGGACGTTGGCTCGGGAAATTGGTGGACCTTGTCGGGAGGGACCACGAAAGGGCGAGTTGATCCAGATGGCGTGGCCTGGGCCGATTTTTTTTTGGCCACTGGCCTTCTTTCCTCAGGACTCTGTGGAGCGGTACTGAGCGACTTGGATTTGACCAAGCTCTTCCTCGGTGCGGGAATCGATTTCAGAGATGGGGTCAAAGGTCCAGCAGATGTTGAGGGCGAGGGTGGCGTAGGGGAATCTGGACTCTGTCCGGGAGGCTCCCGACCATCATCGTGCGTGGCTGTGAAATCCTTTGAACAAACAGTGGTGCTTCCCTCTCCGACATTCCCCTCATCATCCTGGACGGGAAGTTTCGGTTTGGTTTTACCAGCTTTCACCTGCTGTTCCATTTCTTTTGCGGCTTTTTCGAGAACATCATCCCCAAGGCCTTCTGTATCATCATCCTGCTCGCTACGGCACCCCGCCAACTCCAAGTGAGATGAGGCGGACCCGCCAGCCGTCTTCCCTGAAAAAACATCCGCCTCTGCCGCCTTGTCCAACTGGCTGTCATCTTGCCAAGCGGAGTAGACCTCGTCTTCGGTTTCAAACTCAAAGCACTGGGATTCACATTCCCCGTACATGAAGGGAGAACTGGACACGGTTATGACCTCTTGCTCGTTGGGCTCGGGGTCCTTCTGACGGGACCCGCTCCCGTCTTCTTCTTCTTGGCTCCTCCGGCTCAAGTTCACTTTGTTCTCTTCTTCATCAGAAGATGTGTCCGAAATGATGATGATGATATCCTGGTTCGAAGGTCCACCTGCTTCAGAGGACAACATGTGACTTTCGCTCTCAGAGAGAGACCTCAACGCCCCTTCAACTTTCCTCTGAATAGGATTCTGGTAAGTCAAGGTACTTTCTTGACGAGCCACTGAATGCAATTTACCCTCTCTGTCTACTTCGGGCTCCGTCGCTTGGGCCATCAATTTCTTTCTCACCAGCTCCTTCCTAATCTCCATCAAGGGGACGTTCAGATCATCATCTGTGCTACTTTCTTCTGATTCTTCCCCACTTTTCCAACAGCTCTTAAACTCGGCCAAACTGTCTCTGGGTTCCTTCTTTATGGAAAGGATTTCGGCGTGGAAGCTGTTCTCCGAACTTGGTGCCGGATTGCAGGGCAGGCCGCCAGATGTGCTGCTCCCATCTCTGGACGTTCTTCTCGTCATCCCTTCCAGATGATCCTGCTTTTCCTCCTTCATGGACGGCTGCTTTTCGCTCTCCGGCCCCCACAGCCTCTTCCTATTCTCCACGAACTGTTTTAATTTCAAAGTGAAGTCCGCTTTGTTCGACTTAATTTTCTCGGCGATCATTTTTGGAATCTGTTTTCCTTCCAGAGCAGAACTGGTAATTCTGGGCTTTTCTTCCTTCCCATCGGTGTCTTTCTTTTGGAAGTCTTTGTCAAAACTGCTCTGGTTTAGCAAGCTATTCTGGTTCCCCAGTGTCGAGTGGAAACTGTTCTGGGTGGAGCCCCCTGTTGAAGTGGAATGCAACATGTGGTCCTCATGTTTTTGTTCCTGCTTAATGTTGGTCGATTGGAACTCTGAATTTCTCCGACAGCTTTGTTCTCCACAAACCGCTCCTTTGCCTTCCTCGTCCAAGCTGCGTTTTTTCTCGGACAAGGTTCCTTCCTGGCAAACTTCGGCCTGGTTTCTTGTCGATTGATAGATGGAGTGTTCTTGGGGAAGGTATCCTGGGCTTTTCCTCCCTTGTTCTCGGAAGAGGTTGGTCGGACTCTCTCCATGGGAGGAAGCGCTCGACGACTTGGTCCAGAGGCTTCTTATGATCTCAATCAAGGAGGTCTGTAATTCCCGCGCCTGTTGGGGGCTCAGCTTCCAGTCTTCGCGGCTACGCCGAAGCAAATTCAGCTCGTCCAAGAATGGAGAGGCCTTTTGCCCCATCTGATAGCCTTCCTTTAGGAGAACCCGGATCAAATTCATACAAACAGACTGTATAGACTCCGGTTCCCATGAGGGGACTTTTGAGAGGCTTCTGGGTCCGTTTCTGGCCAGGTCCCTCTCAGCGAACGCCATGCTTGGAAGCCCGGCGCACGTCACCACCACCTCCACCCAGTTTTGAGAGCTGACCCACAAAGTGTTGAAGCATTTCTTCTTCCAGCTGAGCTCCACCACCGTCACGAGGATCCAGATGAAAAACTGAGACACTTTGTCGCAAGGCTGGACGGCATGGTGGAGGACCTCCTTGACTTCGGAACACAGGTGCTGGATGACCACCATGCTGTAGGCGACACCCAGCCCCTTGAGGTCCATCAGAGAATGGGCGAAAGGAATGAACCAGAGGAAAGTGCTGTGGTGCAGACGCATGTCCCGCCCGACGTCGTACTGGAACATGTCGGTCAGGGTCTGCATTTCTTCATAAAAGTTGGGGCAGTAGTCCAAGCAAGCAGTAATCCTCGATCTTGAGTCCTGAAATATAATCCAGAACAAGGGTCACCAACCTTTTGGATCTCAGGGACTTCTAAATTCATAATATTAAATCCCGCGGACAACTTAATATGACCTAATGATTGGGTGGGTGGGCGTTGACTAGGTAGCCATGTGATTGGGTGGGCGTGGCCAACTTGATGTCACTCATATCCAGGGGCACCTCGCTGGCCTCTACTCGCCCCTCCTCGCCTCCCTGCCCAGGCTCCTTAAGGCTCCAACAGGAGCAGGTTTTGTAGCTAAGCAGCCACCATGAGAAAGAGTTGCCACAACAGCTCAGTTCAAATTGGATCTGACCGAGAAGGAGGCTCAGCAGAAGCATCTCACTTAGAACTATGAGGCTTTCCAAGCAGAGGGAAGACCTGCAGGAGAGCAAGGCCAGGTAGAGGCACCTGGAGGCTCAGTGGACTGAAATGGTCAGCCAGTTCCAGGCCATGATGCAGTCCCACTGGAACGAGGCCCTCTGGCTCTTCGCCACCTGCGGCTCTTCCCTCTAGCCTTCACCCAAAGCCCCCCACTGGGAGGCCAAATCAGACCCCAAGTTAAAATTTCTGCCCCCTCCGACCCACAAAAAAAGACCCCGAAGGGGGAGACTCTCTGCAGCAACACAAACGTTCATTGCACATATCTGTGCCAGGAACTGTAGTTTGAGGACCCCTGATATAGCGTAATATAAAAAATGTGAATAATTTTATGCAGACCACCAACATTTTCTCACGGACCACCAGTTGGTGACCGCTGGTCCAGGCAGTCTGTCAGCTGTAAACCATGCGGTGACAGTGTGTCATCGACTCTGTGGAGGGTGAGAAAGGGAATACTTGGGGGAAAGCGAAAGTAACTATCTCCTCAAGAAGCTGCTTCAAGGTCACCCGATTGTGAGAAGAGGGCAATGGCATGCCAACCTATCTTGGAAGTGCCCATTTTGAAAACATTTGAACCTGATTGGTCATGGGGGCATCAGGGATGGAAGGGAATTAAGTGGGGGGGAAACTGAAATTTTTGGCACAAGATTCTCTGTTCTGGCAAAATTATATAATAAAAGTATACCTTTCTCAACAAATGGAGCCAAGGATCGCTTTTATTTAGAGGTTTAAGTGGCAACAGGTCTGAGAGAGTCAGTGAAGGCTTCCACTCATTCCTGGGCCATGTCTCTCAATCACAGCAAACTTGTCATAACTTCTAATGGTTGCTAAGCACTGAACTAAATACCACCATTTAGGATGTTCGGATTCTACCTTTTGGGGCCTCTCTGGGTTGTAGTTATATACAATCTGGCTGCAGGTAATTGCTACATCCTCATAGTCTGATGGTGGTTCTGATTTTGTCCTGCAAAAGGAAGGGGGGGGGAAAAATCAAAGAAAGCAGAAAAGCAGCATATGATTTTTAAATTCTACGTCCCAGTGTACAACCAGGAACAATAAAAAAATTATGCTCACCTTCCTGAAACCTTCGAATTCACTGATGATCTCATCATTGGCCAATTGGAAATCTATAATTTATGTATTTCCCGCCCGTGTTAATTTTACAAATGATTCAAGGCAGCAAACATGGACACAGCATACCCAACAATGATAACCCTATGAGGTGAGTTGGATGAGTGTGTGTGACTGGCCCAAGGTTATACAGTTGGCAAAAGGCGGAACTAGAATTCACCAACTCCTAGTGATTGGCCCAAAGTCACCTCAATGACTTTTGGGTCTGAGGTGGTCCAAAGTCACCCTATCGGCTTCCATGACTAATGTAGGACTACAACTCACCGTTCTCCTGGGGATTGGCCCAAAGTCACCCAGATGGCTTTCATGCTTGAGCTGGGACTAGAACTCCCAGTCACTTGCTTTGTAGCTTGGTGCTTTCAACCACTAGACCAAACTAGGCTTTCAATTTGCAAGAAACGAAATTTAGGGATGTTGGGGGAAACGGTTGAGATTATTCAGAGATTATTTCATGAGCGAAGAGGCAAGATGCTTAGGGACCAAAGGCAGCATTGTTTGTTTTCGATTCAGAACAAAATGACATTGTTTTGAGTGGGACCCAGATGGCTAGAGAAGAGAAAGGCTTGCAAAATTTGACAGTGAGCATACAAGACCACGGAGAAAGTTGCTTGAGAATTGTTTGAGATAAGGAAACAACATAACTCTGATTGAGACATCCCCCACCCCCCCTAAAAGAAGGTGAAAATTTGCGTGAAACAGGCTGTTTGCTGCAAGGTAGCAAATTGATGGGAGGCAGATTTTTTTCTCGTGCTAATCAGGCTAAACAGGCTGTTTGCTGCAAGGAGGTAAGTCAATAACTATAAATGCCTGTAGAATGTTCAAATTATGAGACTTATTTTTTAAAGACTGCTTTATTATTGTTCTAGACAGCTTAACAAAATGAAGAAGCTTTTTAAAATAAATGCTTGATCTGAAGAGGTCAGTGTGATTGTATCTCCTTTTAAATAGCAGACGTACACTTCCAGAAAGCCATATCAATTTAAACAGCATCTGTACAAGGAAAGCCTGAAATGTAACACCACAAACAGTGTATATCGTCTGTGCTGTTTGCTGCAAGGAGGCAAATTGCTGGGAGGCAGAGGCAGATATTTCCACCCCCCCTTGTTTTCCTCCCCAAAAGCTAAGAGCATCTTATACTCCGAAAAATACGGTATATAAAGTAATAGGCACAGACCTGGAGCAGTTTTGTCGAATGCTCTCTATTTCCTTCTTATAGCTCGCATTGTTGATGATCGTCTGGAAAGCCTGGACGGGATCCACCAACTGGCCCCACACTTTGGACCCCAATTTATCCAGGATCACCATGAAACAGTGGAGGACGGGCCAAAAGGGGTCATGGATTTCACCTGGAGCAGCAAACAATTTGCAAACATAATTATTATGCTGGCTTCTTTGCTGAACTTCCAATCCTGGTTTTGTCCTACAAGCCAATGCATATGGAGCATTCCCAACTTATACGGCAGGCTGGGCTTAAGAGAGTCGACGTCTTGAGTACAGTGGAGTATAGGTAGTCCCTGACTTACAACTTTTCATTTAATGACCGTTCAAAGTTACAACGGCACTGAAAACAGTGACTTACGACCGTTTTTCAGAGTTACTCTCATGGCAACATCTCCATGGTCCCATGAACAAAATTAAAAGACACTTTGCAACTGTCTCATATATGTGACGGTTGCAGTGACCTGGGAACAGGTTGGTGGTGTCACGTCATCCCCCTTTGTGACGTTCTGAGAAGCAAAGTCGGCGGGCCAAAGCCAGATTCACTTAACAACCAAGATTATTATTTTTAACAACTGCGGCAATTCACTTAACAACCATGGTGAGAAAGCTCATAAAATGAGGCAAAATTCATTTAACAGCTGCCTTGCTTAGCCACAGAAATTTTGGGCTCAATTGTGGTCGCAAGCCGAGGACTACCTGTAGGACCTAAGACTCTTGCATGTGGGGTTCACACATTTCTGACCACTTTTCTTTCTCTGCATTCAACTTAAAAGCTCAACCAGGAAGTATAAGTGGCCAAATGCTTTGCTAGCAACTGTACAAAGTTGATGTCTTTATACCAATCCTTGCTTAGCCACCTGTCACATAGCCAGCATTTGAACTTATGGAAGACTCCTGACCCACATTTGAAGTTCTGGATTCCACCTACCACACACCCCACTATCACACGATTGTGTTAGGTCTGCACTGATGACGGTTTGCAGCATCCCACAATCATGTTTCTGGCAAAAAAAACCAAAAAAAAAACCACCACCAAACCCTGCCCATTGCAAACAATGGGCTCATTTAACTATAGGTAAAGGCAAAGGTTCCTCTCGCACATCTGTGCTAGCCGTTCCCAACTCTAGGGGGCGGTGCTCATCTCCGTTTCAAAGCCGAATAGCCAGCGCTGTCCGAAGACATCTCCGTGGTCATGTGGCCGGCATGACTCAACGCTGAAGGCGCACAGAACGCCGTTCCCTTCCCACCAAAGGTGGTTCCTATTTTTCTACTTGCATTTTTTACATGCCTTCGAACTGCTAGGTTGGCAGAAGCTGGGACAAGGAACGGGAGCTCACTCCGTTACGCGGCACTAGGGATTCGAACCGCCGACCTTTATGATCGACAAGCTCAGCATCTTAGCCACTGAGCCACCACATCCCTTCATGTAACTATAGTGACTCCTTTAATGACTGCTGCAAATATGTTGGAAAATCAGGTTGGAGATGTGACGGTGACATGCTTAAAAACTAGCTTGGCTTACAACTGTAATTCCAGGCTCAACTGCGGTTCTAAATTGAGGACCACACGTTGCCTGTTATGAAATGAACCATTCGGCCTAAAGGAATAAGCTCGGCCTCTGATCCCAGCCTCCCAAGTTCCATTCATGGATTACCGTCTGTCTGCTTCCTCATGGTATTCATGATGGACTGCATGAAGTTCTGCTTGTCTGGCCCGAGCAGCAACGTGTCCATTGCTTGTTCCTCCAGCACCGAGAGCAGCATACAGAGACCTGCATGGAAACCGCCCGAAATCAGACGGTAACTGGCCGTTTCATACAAGGTTTGCCAATCCACAAGGCTCAGAATAGAGCTGGAAGGGACCTTGGGAAGGGAGGGAGGGGAAGTGAGAACGAGAGAGAGAGAGACAGGGAGGGAGAGACAGAGACAGACACACACACACACAGACTGAGATAGAGAGACAAAGGCATAGAAAGACACAGACAGAGACAGAGAAACAGACAAAGAGAAATAAAGACAGACAGACAAAGACACGAGAGAGATAGAGAGAGAGAGAAGGAAGGAAGGAAGGAAGGGGGACAGAGAAAGAAAAAGAAAGGAAGGAAGGGAAAGAGAGAGAAAGGAAGGGAGGAAGAAAGAAGGAGGGAGAAACAGAGAAAGAAAAAGGAAAGAAGGAGGAAGGAAGGGAGAGAGAGGAAGGAAGGGAAGAAGGAAGGAAGGAGGGAGGGGCAAAAAGAAAGGAAGGAAGGAAGGACAGAAGGAAGGAAGGGAGAGAGAAAGGAAGGGAAGAAGGAGGAAGAAAGAAGGAGAGAGGGAGGGACAGAGAAAAAAAGAAAGAAAGAGGGAGGGAGGAAAGAAGGAAGGAGGGAAAGAGGAAAAGGAAGGAAGAGAAAGAGAGAAAGGGAGGGAGGGAGGAAGAAAGAAGAAAGAAGGGAGGGACAGAGAAAGAAAGAGAGAAAGAGAGAAAGAAAGAAAGAAAGAAAGAAAGAAAGAAAGAAAGAAAGAAAGAAAGAAAGAAAGAAAGAAGGCTAAAGCCAAATTCTCATAACCTCCCCATTCTCTCTCCTTACCAAGCCAATAGTTCTTGTAATTGCTGGTGTCGTACAGGTGGGGGGGCAACAGGACCAGTCTGGTTTTCTCAACCCCCAATGAGCTGTAGATATCGGGGTTTTCAAAGAGGCCCAGTTCTACCACTTTGAATAAACAGATTAGCACTTCTTGGATGTCGTAATAATCGTCTCGGTCGACTTTGCCTAGGTTCCTCGCAGTCAGGATGGCCCACCGGCGTATCTATGGATTTGAAGCACCCCCCTCCGGATTACATACATACATAGGGAGATCACATGACTCTTGGGATGGCTGCAACTGCCATAAATGCATGCCAGTTGCCAAGCAACTGAATCCCAACGTGACTTGGGATGCTGCAATGGTTAAGTGCAAGGTCTGGTTTTAAGCCACTGTTTTTGGCTCTGTTGTAACTGAACAGTCATTAAAGGAATGGGTTTTAAACCAAGCACTACGTGTGCGCCCCAATTTATTTTATTTATTAATCAAATGGATCTGATAAGGTTACTCTGGGTGGTTTATTGGACACTGAATGAAATGCAGCATAAAACACATCCAAGGTCCTTATTCTGTTCGTCAATAAGGGCTTTAAAATTTAAAAAGTCAATTAAAATTGTAGCCTACTGCAAAAGCAAGAATCGATGTTCTTTTCACCTCTTTCTACAAGAGCAACCAGCAAAAATATAATGCTCCCTCTTTAAACGTTGACTGCTAATGCCAGAATCTTAAACTCTAAACTCTGTTGCTCCCAAGGAAGCCAGGATTTACCATCAAACCAAGATTTGCAGTCAGCCTATGGATCCAAATTGGCTCAGGGCCCCAAAAAAACCCCACCCCATCAACCTTTCAAATTCAAATATTTAAATAGGGAGGAAGAGGTTTACCACACTAAGATCTTGCAGGGTGCCAGGGCTCACTGCGTTTGCTGCAGGAATGCAAAGAGTTTTAGCTCTAGAGATGATAAACATCAGCAGAGACAAAGGAAATATAAATCAGAGTGACTTACCGTTTCCTTGGGGTGCACCATGAGTAAATAGATACCGGGATGTTTGCCAACTACTTGGTAGGAGTAGTTCATTTCCTCCATTTTGCAAAGAGCATCTATGCACAGCTCACCTGCAACAAAGTGAGAGGAAACTGCAAAATCAGACAGGCATGCCACAAAAATAACAAGATGTTATATGCATCCTTCGGAGATTAAAACCACATTCGGGCCAGTGAGGGTGGGGGGGATGCTATTTCTACAGCATAAAGCATTTTTTTAATTCATCTTCAGCCTTCCAAGGTCAAAGCTGTCAACCTGCTCCTAGATCTTTGCTTTTTCAAAAGACAGAAAGCTCCTTTTTCAGTTCCCCCCCCCAAATGCTTTGAAAAGTTTGCATTTAAATTGATGGGATTGCTGAAAAGGGGGGGGGGGTAAACATAGGTCAAATAAATGGGAGAGGAAATATTATCTGTCATTTCACACCGCCCGTCTACTTGGCGGAAGAAAGTGGCAGCAATTTTCCAAGCTCTATTTTTATGCCAGCTGTGAACAAATTCAAGGTGAGTTTATCTAAAGGATGATTAGAAGACTGAAGGGATGCTATGACGCAAGAACATTGAAAAAGGTTTTACTAAAAACCTACAGAGATAATAGTAGGGAGTGATAAAATATCAATCTTTGGTGCTGGATTCAGAAAAGAAAGCCCCTGGTTCCAGCGATTTGGGAGGCTAAGAAGAAAAGCAGTAGACAACTTGACTCTTACCCCTTGAGGAATTCTGGGAGCTGAAGTCCACAAGTCTTAAAAGATACCAAGTTTGGAGAGCCCTGACTTAGATAAAACTGTTTTGTCTACAGCAAAACAAAAAAAAAACTTGGGGGGGGGACAGGGGAGCCAAGTCACATTCTCAAAACTTCTGCCAAAGTGCAGAGACATTTGACAACAGATATAAGAGCGTCAAGATATAAATTGGACAGGTCTGAGAATGTACATAAATAATGCCTGGGAAATGACAGGTAGAGTCTTTGGACCTTAAAATGCTTTGGGGAAAAAATAATAAAGATTTGCTCTTCCCTAGTCTTGTTTCACGAGGCTGCATTATAATATCTCTGAGCTTGATTGTTTTCTAGCAGACTAGGTAACATAATCAATGCATCAAGGACCTCACAGTCCTCCTCCTCCCCCCCCCAAACCCCACTCCCCTCTAGCACTGGTGATGTTACCTAGTTGGGCCATGAAACATCTGCAAGAAAACAACCAAGCTCAGAGAGCACCAAGGAACCGATAAATCTTGGGTCAACCGCAAGCGATTGTGGTGATCTCTGCTCATCAATGGGGTCAAGAGCCTCCCTTCAAAACTCACTGAGGTGTTCATGAAGTAGCAGGTAGGGATACTTGAGGACTTCCAGCAAGGGCACCTGGAGACGTTTCTCAAAATCAGGGCCGGTGTAACAGGAAGTCAAGGGCGTGACTCTGTCTTCCTCCACCAAGTAGAGGTCATTTTCGTCATCCTCTTGCATGGACTTCTCAAAGTGGTTGACGAGGCGGGAAACTTCCCAATCCCACAGGATCTACAGTTGGAAATGTAAAAGGGCAATTTTAGGAGGAGCCTTTTTTTTGTTTTGCTAGGAGGAGGAGGAGGAGGAGGAGGAGGAGGAGGAAGCAGATGAAGAAGAAGAAGAAGAAGAAGAAGAAGAAGAAGAAGAAG